GGATTGAGACTTAGGCATCCATATTAAAAAAATTGTCCCTAGTGATTTTAATTAAAGCAGGTGCCTGAAACCCAGGGAACCCCAGCTTTCAGCGTTAAAAGCTGTGACCTAGGAAGGGGTTGAAGGCAGAAAATTAGAGTGGACAGAGGGTTGGACTCATGAGGACCTGAGATGACTTGTGTACCTGGAGTTTACCTGATCTGAACACAGGATGAGCCACGGACCAGACCTGTTGCCTGGTGGAGACTCAGCAAGTTTGGAGAATGACTTGCATTCGTGGGACCATCTCCCGCCACAGAGGAGACAGGCAGGGTGCACACAACCCAGGGACCCCTCGGGACAGGCACGGGAGCTCCTGGCAGCAGTCCATGGGCGTCTGGGTGCCTGATCCCCCTGTGCTTACTTTGTTGTATTAGGTGACAGCCCACGGGGGACCTGGTGTGTGTATGTGTGTAGGTGCCTGTGACTGTGTGTGCACGTCTCTGTCTGTGTGAATGCTTGGTTGTATGTGTGATAGTGCGTGCGTGCGCTCCCGTGCTTGTCCGTGCTGTGCCTTTGTGTATGTGTGCGTGCATGCGTGTTACGGGGGAGCAGGGAGCTGCTTCTGCAGGGGTCTGCAGCAGGACCTCGTGGGGACGGACAGTCTCATTTGCTCTTCTCTGGTTCTCCATGGCTTTCCTCTCGTGTCCTTCTTGTCAGCACATCTGTCCTGAGCCACTTTGCAGGTGACCTGCTGATGAGAGCAGGTGGTCGTGGGGAAGGAGGGAGGCTGAACAGTGTGGGGATCCCACGCGTGGGGGGGCCCTTTCGCAAAACTGCTGTCCACTCTGAAAGGGAGAACATTGAACAGCGCCCTGCACTGGGCTCAGGGGTTCAGGGCCTCAGCGTGCGCCTTGCCTGGGGGTGGGTCTATGCGTTCAGAAGGCTTCCCCCTCCCCAGAGCCTCTCTTTATGATCAGATGTCACGGGCTCCAAACTCCTCCACGGGAGGTTCATTCCCGGTTGCCTCCATCCATTTGAGACGCTGCCTTTTATAGCTTAAGGGAAATGTGTGTAGTGCACATTCCCACAGTTTTAACCGCAGAACGATACTCTGTGCATGGTAACCACCACCACAGACAGGACACAGGACAGCGCCCCCCAAACCGACCTGCTTTTCATCCGACAGTTTGTCTTCCCCACGGTGTCACATGAATGGAATTGAAGAGCGCACAGCCGTTGGTCTGGCTTCTCCCATTTAACACAACACAGCTAAGATTCCTCCATGTTGTCCTGAGTTCCCATGGTTCTTTTACTACTGCTGAGTAGTATTCCACTGTGTGGACACACACAGTTTTTCATGTGTGTTTTTTTTAATGTATTTTTATTGATTTCAGAGAAGGGAAGAGAGAGGGAGAGAGAGATAGAAACAACAATGAGAGAGAATCATTGAATGGCTGCCTCCTGCACGCCCCACACTGGGGATGGAGCCTGCAACCCTGGCATGTGCCCTGACTAGGAACCAAACCGTGACCTCCTGGTTCATAGGTTGACGCTCAACAGCTGAGCCATGCCGTCCAGGGTCAGTTTGTTGATCGATGCGCACCCCGTCCCCCGCCCCCCGAACTGAACGACACCCGTGGTGACAGTTCCCGTTTTGGGGGCGATTATGAATAGGACTGCTATGAACATTCCCACACAGCTTTTTGTGGGAATGTAAATGGTCATTTTTCTTGGGTAAACATCTGGGAGTGGGATTGTTGAGTCACATGGCAAGTGTGTGTGCTTCGGAAGAAACTGCCAAACCGTCTCCCCTGTAGTTGTATCATCTTATGTTCCCACCAGCAGTGTATGAAGGCTCGGTTACTCCGCACCCTCGCCAGCACCGAGTACCATCTGGTTTGTTTGCTCCGGGTCATTGGAATAATGTATCTGAGGTTTGGATTCCCATTTCCCTAAGGACTAATTACTTTGGGAAGCTTTTCGTGTTCTTATTTGTCAGATGCGTAGTCTGTTGAGTGAAGCCTTCTGCCCAATTTAAAAATGGCTTGTTTCCTTACCAAGTTTTGAGTATTCTTTGTATGTTCTAAATACACGTCCTTCTTCAGATCTGTGAGTTACAAGCATTTTCTCCCAGTCGGTAGTTTGTCTCAGTGTCTTTGCCAGAGCAAAGGTTTTACATTTTGATGAAGTCCAGTTGATCAGTGTTTTATTTTTATGGATCATGCTTTCGGTGTCAAGCTCTTAGGAACTCTTTGCAGAATGCACCGGACCTCTTGAGACCCTGTCCTAGCACGGCCTGGGAGCTGGGTTCATCCAGGTATGGTGAGGCCCACAGATCAGGAGACGCCTGTCATGGAAAAGGCAGTTTGTTACAGTTCTCAGGAGGCGGGGACACGCCAGGCTGCAGGGGGGGCCACAGGCAGAGAGGGGGAGGGAAACTTTGGGGAAGGTTTGAGGGAAGGAGTGGGTGAGACAGGGTAACTGGGCTAAGGAGGTGACGATCGGCCAGCTGGAGTGATTTCAGCTGGTCACAGTGTAGGGTGCCCTAGCTGTCTGTGCCTGACCCTGGCTGTTGGGGCGGATGGACTGGGTGGGTGGGTGTGGGGCGCTGGTGTCTCAGGAGTGTAAGGGTAGGAAAGGCAGGGGGATGGGCTGGTTTGTATGTAAAAGGTGTGCTGGGGGCAGGGAGGGTGTTCCGTTGTCCCAGAGCTCTAGCAATCGGCTGGCCTGAGTCCACAGGCCCCAGAAGCCAGGACGTCAGACACAGAAACCAGACAATGTGGTTAATACAGACCCGGTCCTGGGACTGGTACTTCGCTTCCACTGCATCCTGTTGGCCAGAGCAGGTCACAAGGCCAGCCCAGACCCGAGAGGTGGGAAAACAGATTTCCCTCTCTATGGGAAAAGCGGCCGTTTCCTTGCAGATGGTGTGGGAGTGGGCAGGAGGCCTGGAGCTACTGCTGCAAACCTTCCATCACGGGACCCAGAGATTCACTCCCCGCAGGCCCCTGGGTTTGGACGAAAGGGTGCAGTCAGGGTGAGGGTGGGCAAAGGGAGGCCTTGCTGGGTGGTGGCTTTCCCAGCGCCTCCCCCTTTCCCGGCACCTTAGGAAGGGGCTCCAGCCTTGTCCCAGGCGCCCTGACTGCAGAGAAGAGTGGCGGGGCCTTGGGCAGCGGGTGTGGAGGGTGTGGACCGAGAGCAGCAGCTGTGTTTCCTGGTCTGCCTGGGTCTCTGAGTCAGGCAGGACCCAGTGCGCTCCCAGACCCACTCGCCCTGGAGGATCCTGTGGACACCAGACTGGATCCCAGGCCCACCAAGCCACCGTGGTCTGGGAGGCTGCTCCCTGCACCATGTGGACACTGTCCCCCCTCCACACGCCTGCCCAGACCTGCGTCCCGGCCGCTGCCCCAGGAGGAGGCTTCCTCTCCTGAGTGCTGACAGGCCTGGCTGTGCTGGTCGCTCCCATGACCCCCAGGGCAACAGCGGGGCTGCTGACTCCTGCGGATCTGTCCATGGGCTGTGCAGCCCTGGGGACACAGGGCAGACTCCCTGGGTGGTAGAACTTTCTAGATCCTTTTAGACCTTCTGCCAGCATCTTCCATGCTTCTCAGAAACTGCCTGGGACCTAAATGCAGGCCATGACATGCATTTTCATTCAAGAAGTAACAGCACCTGTCACCTGACGGGACCCAGGCCTACCCACTTCAGCATGTCCACCCGCACCTCAGGGAAGCGATGACTCATATCCCTGTGCCTGGGACAGTGGACGCCTCTGGCAGCCTGGCCTCCAGGACCTTCCCA